CGCTGGAGGTGGAGGCCGGTGGAAGTGGGGAGCGAGGGGGGGAGGTGGGCGGTGGGTCGGGCCCTGGCAGCGGGCTCGTGCCCGCAAGAGTTCGGCCCACTGTCCCGCGTCCCCACGAGTAGGGGTCTCTTAGGTTCCTTGTCGTGCCTCCCGCGCCCCCCATCCGTTCCCTGCGCGCAGTCGCCGCGGCCTCTGGCTTGGAGAGAGCTTCAGTTGCTTGGAGAGAGCATCGGCTGCCGGGGGCTTCGAATGCCTGGCTCAAGATTGCGACCCAGACTGTTGCGCGCCTTCCCTCGCCATCATGGCAGCCAGTCTGCAATCTAGATTACATGCTGGATCGCGCAGGGGTCCCAGGGGTTGCGCGCCGCATAACCCACGTCTCAACATCAATTCAATTGCCAGCGTCGCTCGCAGGCCACCGAGAGAACGCATCGTTTGATCATGCAGTTGCACAGGGAACGCATTAGCTTGTCATGACAGCTCCGGACGGCCTTCGATGAGAACGCAGATTTGCTGCGCAGCGTTGTCCAGCTCGTGCATGCACAACGGCAGTTACAGCAAGCTTTGAGTTATGTTGGGAAGGGGCGGGATGGCATGACATAGCACGCTTACACACTACAGCGCGGTGCATCTCAACTCCAAGGGCAATCGCAACAAGTGGAAGACGAGCGCGACGTGGCCAGCAACAGCGTTGCCATCAGGGCCGCGACGAAATTATCCTCAAGGAAGATATGCGTAATCTTGATCAACAGGTTGCTTTTTTACCCGAACAGGCATTCGAACTCACGGGTTTGCCTCTGCCTTCAAAAACGAACGCCGGTGGGGGCCGGGACATGTGCGACCCAGAGTTCTTTGATCATGCACTGCACCCACATCGAGCATTTGCTGCGTCATTCCCTGGACGTGGTCTCGAAGTGCATGAGCATGGATGCGAGCCTTCCAGGCGCAGGTGCGACCCGCGTCATCCCAGAGGAATCGGGCGACGAGTTTGTGCTGAGTGCGAGTGGTGGACTGGCATGCGAAGAGACTGTCTTACTAGAGGTGCGTAGCGAGGCTGGCCGTCAATGTTTTTCCCAAGCGCCGCGGCATGCTTCTTTGGGGTGTGCTTGTACGGCGTGCGTTGATCGATCTGGAACTGGAGATTGCGACTGTTTGGCATACTCGTTCTACATCGGTCCTATATGGATAAATGCCACAGGATCCCGATTTGAAAGATGGTGCGCAAGTGCCGGGCGTCGAAGATTACGTGTTCGCCGACTTCTGCGACACCTGAGGGTCGCAACCTGTATTTCGAGCGCCACTTGATCTGAGTTTCGGCGCTCTGGCGCCCCCGCGGAGCTCCTGGCGGTCCTTCCCCCGGGACGTATCTGGCGCCTGTCTTGTCCTATAACGTTTTCAATTTTGCGCAAGCGCTGTTCTAAAATCCCTCCTGATATCTGTGCCCAATGCCTTTTAAGATTGTGCCTATCGACGACGCAAATGCCGATGATGCTCGATGGCTAGGCCCGTCGCGTGGACGAGGAAAGGGGGGGGGGGCGGCGGGGGGGGGGGGCAGCGTGAAAGCTGGCGGGGTGCGAGGCGGTGAAGTTGCAATGCAGAGGTTGTAAGGGGATTTCCCGCCCCCCCTCGCCCTGGTCATTGTCGTCGTCGCCGTCCGCTGTGCCGCCCCACTTCTCCTCGCCCCTCTTCCTGCTGCGCCCCCGTGATTTGCGCATAATTCCTCGGCGCGCCCCGGCGCATCGGCGGTTTGGGCCCGGCGTGTCGCGTGAGCTAAAATGGCCTCGGAGTTTAGGCGACCCTCAGAACAGGACAAAGCACATGAACACAAGGGGTTTTATTGGTTTTACGCCGGAAGGGGGCGTCGTTGAGAGGGCGCCTAGCACGGATGTGGGGATCGGGGTGGCGTCGTCGTTTGGAGCTGGCGGTTTGCGCGGCAACTGCGTTTAGCTGGTCGCATGTTTTCGGAACGCGTGACTGGTGGAAAGGCCGCTCACCAGCAACTGGCAGTCCTCTGCCCGCGGACCAGAACAAATCGTCGCACGCTCGCAACTGGGCGGGGGAAAGGGGGTTGGGAAGAGAGCGCGAGTCTCATTCCCAAGAAGTCCTTTCGATAGGTAGCAAACCATTATTTTTCTATTCGTCTGGCGCACGGCCAACCGAGCGAACGAACAATTGTCCCGGCGCGCAGTGTTAGCCTCGCTTGCGCGCATCCTGGCTTTCTTCCGTTGCTTCCTTCGCTTCTTTCTCGCCCTCCTTTTCTTTTCCCTCTCCCCCTGCTTTGCCTTGCCCCGCCCCCCTTCCTTTCCAGCTCGGAGCTGTCGCCGCGCGCGAAGATCGCAACCCAAAGGGCGTTGCTGTAATTCGTTTGTGCACCACGAAGTCTCGTGTAATTCCTTTGTGTGCGGTATGGTTGCGCTGCAAACGCGGGATGCGCACGCAGGATTTTCCTTCGCGCACGATCGTTTTCGCCGCCCCCACAAGAGCACGCGCGATTCCTCTGTGTAGAGCTTGCTTTCCCGCCTCGAGGAGCGCGCGGGGCCTGGCACTACAATCGCAAGGCCGCGGCGCCTGGCAGTGCGATGCAGCTGCGCCGGAAACCACGCCCAAAACGATCCCACGTGGATTTCGGCTCTTCTGCCGAAGTCGCGCTGGCAGCTGGCCAACCACATCGCTGGTCCTACATGCCCGCGCGCGCTACTGCGTTCTGCTGACGCGACGCGTGCTGCTGTCAACGGATGAACAAATTGACGGCGGCTTGGCTGTGCCAAACCACCATGGAATGTTTGTTGGTAGGGGATTTGGGGATCTCGTCGCCGCTGACAGCCCTGCCACACCATACAGGCCCACTGCATCCTAGAGCACGGCCGTGTATCAACCCTGGTTCGGATCGCTGGGGATCCAGTGGCATGTGTGCACATGCGTTGCACCGTTGGTGGTGCCACAACCCTTCGTGTGAAACTTCTTCGTGTGTTTTTTTTTCTGGCTCCTAAACCCAACGGTTGCGCTGTTCGTTGGCTGGATGAGTGGCTGACTGACCTCGCGGCCGACTTCCCTCTCCCCCCTCTTCCTCCTCCTCTTCGTCCTCCTCGTCCTCCTCTTCGTCCTCCTTCACCTGCTCCTCCTCCTCCTCATTTTCTTCCTCAAGTCCGTTTCTTCCTCTTTTCCCTTCCTCCCCACCCCCCTCCTCCGCCGTTTCCTCCTTCCCCCTCCTCCGTTTCCTCCTTTTTCCCCCCCTTCCTCCTCCTCCTCCTCCTCATCATCATCATCGTCATCATCATCAGCATCATCATCATCATCATCATCTCCCATTCCTCCTTCCCTCCCGCGTCGTGTGATTATGAGCGTGCGTTTGTTCTCCTGCGCGCATGTGTGCATGCCGCCACGCAAATGTCGTCGCCGTGCAGTTCGAATTTTCGCACCCAGTCTGTCCCGGCCGCGTGGCCGATTGTTTCGGTGGCGCGTTGCGCCGACCAGCCGATGGGAGCGGCCCTTTCCCTCGGATGTTGCTTCCGTGCGTTGCCTCCCGGAGGCGGTGCGTCGGCTGGCCCTGCCGGGGTTCGCTTGCTGTCTGCCCCCGACGTGCGCCTCTCAAGCAGTGGCGAAGCGTCCTGGCGTGCCTCAAGGCCTACCAAACAATGTTTTAGGAATGTGTCGTGGTTTTCCCGAACTGTTATTAAAGCATTTTTGGTTGGGGCTGTCTTGTTTTAGCGCATCGGGCTTACGCTCTACCACCATTGTCCTTTCGTTGGAACACCGCTGGGTTCTAAGCAGTTTCGTGGTAGGCCTATAGAATGCCGGGACGGTCGGTCCCTGCTCAAGCATCGTCTCTTCTTCCTCCAAATGTTCGAACTCCAGATGTGGACAGACTGTCAGGTGGAGGATATTGTAAGCTCGGTTGTCCCCCCCTCCATTCTGTCACATCGGCGTTCCGTTTTTCTTTTTTAAAAATGTTCGGACGATCCAGCCGATCGAGCGTTGCACGGCATGTGCAACGTTTCTCCGTCTCGCCATTCCCACGTTTCTTGTTCCCGTGTTGCCGCTGCCGTCGTTTCGCCATTTCGACCGTAAACATGTTCTTGGTTCGATCGTAAACATGTTCTTGGAATTGCGCTCGTGGGTGGTTGCCGAGGCATTGTCATGGTCCCTGCTTTCCCCTTCCCGTCTTGTCCTTGTCTTCCTCCTCCCCTTTGCCTCTTCTCGTCGTAGCATTATTGGCCGGTCTGGGCTGCGGGAGCATCAGCATGTGGCACGTTTGTGTCGCTTCCCGGGGCAATGTTTTTCAACGTCATAGCACGAAGTACGAACATACGCAGCAAGGTAGAAGGACGGAGAGCGTGTCCTGTTTAACATGGGCCCCTCGACCAAAACATCCATAATCTGATGGCCAGGCGCTCGTCGAATGGTGCAACAAGTACAAGGATGGAGGATTGTCTCGTTTCAGGCCTCGTCATTACGACAAAAGTGCGATATCGTGCAAGTGTCACACACACACGGGGGGCGGCTTCCGTTTTGAAGCGGCGTGTTCGCTTGACGCTTTACTTGTACGTGATGATTGTGAGCGCTCGGGCTCTTCATGCTTGAGGGAGGCAGGACTCCTCCTCCTCCTCCTCCTCCACCTCCTCCTCGTCCTCGTCTTTGCAAACTGGGGCCTGGCCTGCATGGTTGTCCCACGGGGCGCGCTCGTCTTTCAAAGAGGGGGCCGCTTCCCTGTTGAAGTGGATGGTCTGAAGGGCTGCAGGGGCTCTTGAGGACGGGAATCGGGACGGGGAGGCGCACTCCAGCATCGTTGATGCATCCTTGGGTTTCGTATCGTGTCCCTTTTCATCCAACTCTTTGCTTCGTTCTTCCCCTTCCCGCCTTGACCTTGCTCTTCCACCCCCCCGTCCGCCCCCTGCTACTCCTCGGCCTCCCATACTTCCCCCCCGTTTTCCCTTCCATCTTCCCGCCCCCTCCCCTTCCCCCCCTAAGTTTGCTCGCGCCCCGCCATCCGTTTGCGCCAGGTGGATATTTTCCACAGTGGCACGCCCAGAGACCGCGCTGGGACTGCCGAGGAGGAGGAGGCGACAAGTTGTTTTGCCCGTGCTGCCGTTTCGGCGGTCTCGCTGCCTGCGCGTGCATTGCGGAGCGTCGACCCCGACTGGCGTCAGTTGCGGACGTGGGGGGGTCTTCCATTCTTTGTTTGCGCGTTGTCATTGCACATTTGGTTTCTGTTCTCCACCGGATTCGGCGGACTTGTCGTTGTCTGATATCGCAGTTCGCAATCATCATAACATCGCGCGCGCGTTTTTACATCTCCGCCGCGCCTTTCATATCACGGTATCGGTGACCATATGTGCGGACGTCCCGTTCACGCCACACATTTGTGTTTTTTCTCGTTTGTTGATTCAAGACGCTTCGCGTTCACCCCGCGCCCATTCCAGGCATCGCCAAAAGAGACGAAGACAACGCAAAGCCAAGATCCGAAATGGTTTCGGATCCCCCGCAGGTGTGTTTTGTATTCTTATGTTGTGTTGCATTTGTCGTCCGACCCATCGCCGATTGGACTTGGGTAATCGGCGTGACAGATCGATGTTAAATTTGACGGTCGGTCGTCGGCCCTCCTTTATGACCACCAGATCACTGATATGGACGTTGGCTTTGTTGACCCTGTTTTCTATCCACAAGAGGAAGCTGGACGCAACCCATACTCGGCCGAACACTTGCCCAATACGGCCCCGAAACGAATTCAAAGTCGCCAGTGAGCCCCCCCGGCCGCCAAGGCTCAGAGGTGGCGCAGCTTGTGCGACGCCAGATCCCAGCTGATTCAGGCCAACTCGCCGAGCCAGTCCTCTCTTGGGGACGTCGCTGCAGGGGGCGGCCCAGCCACCCGCGCCAAGGCCACCGGCAACGGAGCTCGCAGGGGCAAAGCCCCCACAGGTCACGCGGCGGTGCTGCAGGTTGTCGACGAAGCCATATGTTCTCGCGCGGCCGCCGCCGAAACCGAGCTGCCCCAGCGCCTGGCGTTGCCTGGCGCCACCGTTGCCAGCGGTGCCTTCGGTTCGGTCGGGTCGACATTTGCCGCCGCGGGCCCGTCGGGGCTGGCGAGGGCGGCAGCGCGCGGCCGCGTCGAGATCAGTCAGATCCGCATTGCGCGCGCGCGCCGACGCGGCTGCTGGCTTGGTGCGGTGCCCCCTCTGCGCGGGGAGGGCGACCGAGCTGCCGTTCGCGGCAACTTGGCCCGCGGCAGCTCGGTTCGGAAGGTCGCGCGACAGCTGGCCGAGGCCGCGCGGCGCGAGGCGCGCGGCCCCAGCAGTGGCGGGGCCTCCGCATGCTGGCCCAGGCTTTTTTCCACAGCGCTGAAGGGACTCACAGGCTCCGCGTTGCTGGACGGGCCGCGCGGGCAGGGCCCGACGCGCCCGCGTCCGCGGCGGGGTGAATGCCTGTCGAGGTCGACGCGGCCGACTCTCGGAGGCTTGCCGGCCTTGCCGAAGATTCTGCGTCGAGTTTCGCGCAGCGGGGGCGGAAGCAGGTTCGGCGCAGGCAGGGGCCCCGGCGAGGCCGCCGCGGGCGTCTCGCGCCGCGAGCGCGCGGTGGATGGCCGCCGAGAGTCGCACGCGGCCCTTCGCGCGCCAGCGGGGCGCGAGGCCTCCCCGCTCGGGGGCGGGCGCGCCTCGCGGCGAACCGGGCGGTCTTCGCCGCGCCGGGTGCTTGCGCGGTGAGGCGCCCGAGGGGCGCGGCAGGCGCGGCGGGCCCCCCCTCCTGCGCGCCCCCTGGGCCTGCCGGCCCCGGCGGCGCCGCCCGCCCCCGCCGCTCCGAGCCCGTTCTGCGCGGTATAGACCAGCGCCAGTGGATCCCGCCGAGGGGCCGCGCCCGCGCGTTCCCCCTCTGGCGCCGGGCGCCGCCGCCGAGGCCGCCCATGGCCCCGGCTGGGCGCCATTGGAGGCTCGGGCCAGTGCCCGGGCACCTGCCGCGGGCCCCATCGGCCGTCGCCGCCTCGCCAGCACGCTGCGCAACAGCTCGGGCAGCTCCCTCGCGTTTGCCGAGCCGCTCGCGTCGGGCATCGCGGCGGCTCGGTGGCCCCGCGACGCCGCCAGAGCACGCGCGGCGGCGTTGCCGGCGACCGCGGCGAGCGCGCGGAGGACTGCCGACGGCGGGGGGGGGGGGCATCGCGAACTGCGGATCGAATCGCAAGGGCGATAGTCTCAGCTTCGCGCCAACCTTTCAAACCGAAAAGGATTTTCGCCCCGCCCCCCGCTTCGCCTTTCCCTGCCGCTGCTCGCGGCGGCGACGCGGCCGGGCTCGCGTCCGCGACCCGCCGGGCCACTGCGGCGGGATCGAGCGCCCCCGCGCGCGCCATTCGCCGGCGCGTTTCCGCTCCGCGCGCGCAGGTCGCCTCTGCCCCCGCCCGTCGGTCGGCGTCGGCCTCTCTGGCGATGCTGCCGCGGCCCCGTGGGGAGAGGCGCGCGCCGCCGACGAGGCGATTGGGGCGTCGACGCGCGCGGGGGCCTCGCCGACGGCGCCCGCGGCGCCTCCTGGCGCGGGGGTTGCGCCCGCGAGGCTGGTCGCCGGCGGCCGCGGCCCGCGCCGCCCGCTCTCGATCTCTCCGCGCGGCCGCCGCTTCTCCGCGAGGAGACGGCGCCGCTGGGGGCAGCTGCTTCGGAGGTGGGTTGGCGTTGGCGCGCGGAGGTGGCCGGCGAGGCGATCGCCTCGCTCCGCCAGCTGCGCGAGCGGGAAGACGGGCCCCTAGTCGCCCTGTCGCGGCGCCGCTGGTCTGCGCCAGACGGGCCCGGCGAGGCGGGCGACTCTCAGGGTCTGGTATGCCTCTGCCAGGCCCTCGAGCCGCGCCGGCGCCCGTTCCCGAATGGCGGCGCGTGCCCAGCGGGGCGCGCCGACTGGCTGCCCCCGACGAACGCCGCGGCCCCCCTGCGGAGTGGGCCCCTCGCCGCCCTCGGGCAGGGGGCCATCCGCGGCGTCGGATTGGGGGGCGTCGTCGCTCAGCGGCGCAGGGCCGCCGCGGCGGCGGCCGCCCTCGACTTGCGGCATTCGACCTTGGAGGGCTGTGGGCCCCCCGCAAGCGTCTCGGGGTTCCGCCGAGGCGCCGGTGGAGCGCCCCTCGGGGTGGCCGCCCCCTAGCGCAGCGCTGGAAGGCCACCGCGCAGGCGCGGGGCCCCGTGGGGCGACGGGGGGCCCGCGAGCCGCTCGACTGGAACAGGCTCGTCGGCGGGGGCCCCCCCGCCCCTTCTCGACGACGCGCAAGGGTGGCCCTGACCTTTGCTGGCCCCAGGGGGTCGGGTGATTTCTGTTTTGGAATGAGCTCGCCCCCGCGTCGGCACGCGCGTCGCGCGACGGCGCCCGCCTCTCAGCGCGCCAGGTTCGACGCCCCCCTCCTAGTTGATCGACGGCAACTCGCGCGCGCGGCGAATCCTGCGGCGCCCATTGGTTCCCCGAGCGGGGCCGGCCGACCAGGCGGCGCGTTTTCCGCCCTGGGGCAAGTCCCAACCCCCGGTCCAAATCCCACATCGTCTGGTTGGAATATATTTGGATATATCTGTATATTTCTGAATGTGTCTGATCAGAGGAGCATGAAGTATCGATGTTGATCGTTTTCGAAGTTCCCGGTTTTCCCGTCCTTCCGCGCGAGCCCCAGGGGCGAATGGTCGAGCGCATTCCGTCGCGCAGGTTCTTCGCGCGACTCGCGCGGTGCAGTTTCGCGCGTCGGAGCGCCCTCGGAGGTTCCAACTTGCATTATGTTTTGCTTTTTGGGGGCCCGCGAGTCGCAGCTGCCGTGGCGCGATTTTCGAGGCGACCCCTCTCGAGCGCTGTTCGCGGGCGCAGGGCGCGGCGCGCGCTGCGGCCGATCGCGCGCGGCACGGCGCGTGAATCAGCGGGTCGCGCCCGTCGGACCGCCCAGAAAGCATTTCCAGATTGCAGAGTGTTTCCCAACACAGCAGAAACACCCACGGTGTGTCGTATTTTTACAAAGGTGGCCCCGGAATATTTCAAGAATGAGTCCATGCGTTTTCAAGGGACAGTTTTGAGAGGTGGAGTGCGCCCGCCGCGCAGGACATCTGGATCATTGAGAATCTGGAGTTTTCCCAATGGATTCCGGAATGTCTCAAAATTGATTCCAGAATTTCTCAAGATCGATTCCAGGAGTTTTCCACAAGTAGGCCGAATTTGTTCAAACACGCCCTTGGATGTTTCAAATCTTCCCCCAGAAGATGTGTCCAGAGTCGCGCGTGATTTGCCGTGCCAGGTCTTTGGAAATCTGCCGAGGCGCGCAGCGCGCGGCGGGGGGCGGCGGGGCTGCGCGCCACCGCCCCCCCCGCCCCCCCCCCCCCCCCCCCCCCCCCCCCCCCCCCCCCCCCGCGCTCGGCAACGAGAAGGTGGATCAGCAAGTGCCCGAAAGCCCCTAGGCGACCACTCGATTGCGAATGGGTGACCGACCGGCGGCGCCAGGCCGAGTTGACAATATTCGATGCAAAATGTACCCCGCGCGAAGACTGTTAGAAATTCCGGAATCCCCGGAAACGCATCAATAGCAAATTGTGCCCATAGATTCTTTTCGTAGTATGTGAACATGCTTGAATATATGTTTGAATCCTTTCTGAAACAACGGGGGGCCGTGCAATTTCAAGGTGTCCACCGGTATTCTGACGTATTCCAGGCCCGCGGGCGGTGCCAGTTTTGCCCATGACGCCAGACTTGGTCAGACGCCATCGCGATGCAGCCCAGCAGTGCTAGGCCTCGTCGCGGCGCCCCCCCCCCCCCCCCCCCCGGCAGCGTTTCTTTGCGCGGCGCCGTCGAAGTGCCATTCGGTGCGTTCGAATCCAAGCGGCGGAATTCCGCGGTCTTCCGCTTGCGCCGGGAAATCTCCCAGCGGCGCCCCGCCGATCGTTGAAATGCCGCGGCTGCATTGGTTTGCGCGGTTGCGCTGGGCCCCCACGAGCGCCCCTAAGGCCGCGCGCAAAAGGTCGTTCTTGCGCGCGGTCCATTCCCGGCGGTCGAGGCGGCCGCGCGCCGCGTCGCCCGCAGAGCGAGCGCCCCCCTCTCCCGCGCGCGCGACGACGTTGCCTTCAACTCGAGCGTCGAGATCGACGGCAGGGAGGAGCGCCTCCATCCGCGCTTCGCCCCGCGGCAGACGCGGGCGACCTGCGTCGCAAACCGTTTGGTGGCGAGGAAGAGTGGCGCAGGCGCTGCTCCTGGGCTGATCCCGCGGCGCGCGCGCGGCCCCTGCGCCCGTTTTGCAGAGGCTGCGCCAGCCGCTGCTGCGACCGCCCCCGCGGCGTCGGGCCTCGAGGCGAACCCGCCCCCGCGCCTCGCTGCCCCCCATTGGTGCGCGATTTTCACGTCGCCCCCATCTATCCCGATCGGCGGTCGAAGACGGTTGATGCCCTCGAGCTGTGGCTCGAGCAAAAGCGCGTCGCGCTTGCCGCAAGGCGCCGCGGCTGTATCTTGCCTGCCCGGCGCCTCGCTGCATTCGGCGATATACTGTCCCGAGCGATCCTCGGCATCCAGTATTCCCGCCCTGCTGGTGCGCTTTCGTCTGAAGCCTGGGGCGTCGCCAATCAGTGGGAGCTGGCGAGGCCTCGCAAGCTCCGCCCTCCGCTGCCCCGCGCGCATGTGCGTGCGATGGTTGGATGTTGTCTCTTCTGGGACAGCCGCTGGTGGCTGCGCTGCTGCTCGCGGGTTCAACCGCCTTCTTTGGTTTCGGGTAGCCTTGCCGCCGTGGCCATTTGCTGCCCCGCGATCGGCTTGAATCCAGCGGCGACGCCTTCCTCTCCAGACTTTCGCCGAAGACCCGCCCCTCCCATCCGACGAACACCGCCCGCTGCTCGGACAGGTCCGCGGCGAGGCGGATCGAGCGGGTTCTTCAGCATCGGGGCCCCGACGACCCGCTCGCGCCATTCGGGAAATCGGCTTCCGCCCTCGGTGGGTGCACTTGCTTTCGACTCTGGACGCCCCGCCTGCCAGCGCGGCCTCAGGGTTGACCCCCCCCGACTGCCTGCCCGCCGGGTTCAGGGGCGACTGCGTTGCGCGCTGCCATCGAAGACGTTTCTCGCGTCTTCCGGCGCGGGCAGCGGCGCCGAGCCTCCGGCGATGTGCGCTGGCCTTGATGTGCAGGCTGCCGCTTCGTAAGTTCCGCCCGCCCTCCCCGCGCCCTCGCGAACGCGCGTCGCTTCCCGCGCCGCTGCCAGCACCCGCCCGGTCGCAGTTGGCCCGGCTACGTGGTCAACGCAATCGCTGCCGCCCGCCAAAGCCTTGTCACAGCGCAAGTGTTTTGTGCGCGGGCGCGGCTGCATCGCCGACCTCGGCGACCAGGCGGGCCCCCCCCCCCGCCCGAGCGGCGCCGCGCGGCCCGCGCGCGTTAGGCGCGCCCGCCCCCCTCCCCGGGCCCCCCAGCGCGCGCCGGGTGCGCCTGCCCCCCTCCCCGGGCCCCCCAGCGCGCGCACGCCTCGGCCGCCGCCCGAAAACATCTCGCAAACGCCGATGCGGGATTAGGATGTATCGCATTTTTCTCGCCACTTGCGCACCAGTTGTCTCTGCAGCTTTTCCGCCCCCCGCCCCCTTCCCGCTTCCTTTGCCGACTTGGGCTTGCGACGCTGCATCGCCGACCTCGGCAACCGGATGGGCTCCGCCACCAGAGCGTTGCCGCTCGGCCCGCCCTGTTCCGAGCCCCCCGGCGCGCGCGCGCTGCGGCCGCCGCCCGGACACATGTCGCAAGCGCCGATGTGGGAGTGTGGGAATTGCGAACCCTCGAGTGTGTTCGACACGTTTCAGCCTGTCCAGTCTGAGGCACCGCGTGTCTGCGGGTCGAGTATTGCCGTGTCTACTGGGGCCCATCGACACATGATCGTCATTCCGCGCGTGGGGGGGGGGCATTTCTGTTGCATTCGGTCCAAAGGCGTTGCTTCACATGGTCGCGTGCCAATGTGCCAGCATATCGTTGTAGTTGGCTTGTTAGGCGGCCTTGAGGTTTGATTCCGTGCGGACGCAGCCGCGCGAATCGTGACCCCGAGCTGCGATGCCCACGTGAATGTTCTGTTGAGGCTCCAGAACTCGACACCATGAACAATACCGTTTTGATAGTTTCGCATACCTGACGTTGGCGAACAGATGCGACCGAAGCTCGTTCTGTCAAGGGGCCCGCGTCCCAGGAACAGGAAGAGGAGAGACGATGACGGAGGAGGGAGGAGATGGACAAAGCAGCGTTCGGGAGAACGATGAGGAACCGCATCCGATTTTGCGCGGCGCGCTAGGCGAGCAAGTTCCTCGAGAGGTGGACGTTCTCATTTTTCCCTGCCGGCGCCGAGCCGATTGTCCCTGACAGGCCCGCCCACGGTGGCGGTGGGGGACGCCAGGAGGCATCAGCACGGGTAAGAGGGAGCAGAAGGGAGGAAGGAGGTGGGCAGAGGGCTTCAGGGCCTCTTGGGTGCATTTGGGGCCGGCGTGGCAGCCCCTTCGAGAAGGCATCCGAGATGAAACCTTCAGGAATGCCCCCGAGAGTCCCGAGGCAATCGGAACGTGTACACGCTGGTCGTTGAAAGTAGGTCTGGTTGGGTGTTCGGATCCCAATCCACTTTAGGCGCCTTCCTACTTCTGTAGTCGAGCGGCTTTCCCTCTTCCTTCCTCTTCAGGGGGCGGGCGGAAACTCAATCTACTTCCAGCGCCTTCCTACTTCATGTGTCTACCTACTTCTTCCGACCGGCGTGTAGATTGTTACGGGTTCGGGCGTTTCCGCGCGGATCGGCTTCGGTCGTCGGCCCCTCGAGGCTTGAAGACGGCCCAGTGTGACTCTAAGAGGGCCCGAGAGACCGAGGAAGCCCGAATGGCCCCCCAAAGAGCACACCAAGAGAGCTGCAACACCAGAACATACCTATCTGAGGCTCTGTCGGCCACGCGCAGATGGGAGCAGAGGGAGGGGGAGACTTCTCAGAAGCACCCCTGCTTCTAAGACAGCGCCGGCATTGTCTGTAGGTGTAAGGCTGGTGACTTCTAAGAAGCAGCCTCCCTCTAAGAAGCATCCCCCCCCCTACCCCCGTCCTGCGCGCCGCCAACTCCGGCCGTCGGGGAGTTTCATCCGTCGCTGTTCCTTCTTTCCACGGGTGGCCAGACGCGGCCGCCGAGCCAGACAGCCAGCCACCTCTGGTGCACGGGTGATTTGGGGGAAGTGCTGCGTCTCTTCGGAGGGAGGGCAGTCAAACTGCCGCGGCATGGACGGGTACTTGGGCAGGCACATTGGGAGTGCTACCCGAGCGCATCGGCCGCCCAGAGGGTTGGAGGGATTCTGGCGTTCCCAGGGGCGCGTGCGCGCAATGTGGCGATTCTTCATAGTGTCATTCGTGTGCGCTCGCCCCGCCAGTCTTCATGGAATGGACGTGACCGACCGGGCAGTCGCCTGGATGGAGCAGCAGCATGTCGTGGTCCAAGATTGGCGTCTTTTCTAATGTTTGGGCCGGTTCGATGTTCGCGCCAATGAGATGTGATGATTCAGACGCGGCCCGCCGCAAAGTTATCGCATATTATGTTTTGAAGTGCTTCGTGCGTAGACCCCGAACAGTGATTTATTGCATTGCGGAGGTGAGAATTATGCGATGCAAGCTATACGGTTTCAATTGTGTTGTCCAAGTTGTGCGATGTAAGCTGTGCGGCGGTGCGATGAATACTTGCTGTGTAAGTTGTGCGGTGTGAGCTATGGTGTGTAAGCTCTTTGGTGGTGTGAGCGATGTTCGGGGCGGAAAAGAGGGGGGTGATGACTAGGGCGGGGGTGGATATCATGGCGGGGGCCATGATATTTCCCCAGGTCTCATGGCGCCCCTTCTCAGTCCATTATGTCCCTGGCCCCCCCGCTGGGCCGCGCACATGCCGCCGGCCATGATTAGCACCCCCCCCCTCTTGGACACCCCCCTCTCGGCCGCTCCCGAATGTGGTCCGAGCTGTATGGTGTGAGCTCTGCGGCCTGCGATGTGCACCACGCTCTGCAGGCTGCGCTGCCCACCTCGGGCACGGGGCGCCCGCGAGGCGGCACGGGCGGGCACGCGGCGAGACCTCGGCGCGGAACAGCCGAGAGCACCGGGCGCCCGCGATCGCCCCCGAGGCTCCCACGGCAGGGGTCATTCCGATTCCGCCGGTTCGATTCGAATCGATTTCCGCGGTTCCGATGTCGAACCGACTCGATTCCGGGATTCCGTTTCGCGATTCCGATCTCGAGTTCGCCGTTCCTGCCCGTAGCCTACGGGCGGGAACGGCGTCACCTCAGCCTTCCTTGCTATCTCTTTCTCTCTGCCTCTCGCCCTCCCTATCTGCATCTCCCTCTCTCTCTCTCGAATCCGCGGCCCTGGTGCCAGACCCGTTTTCGGTCTGATGTCCACCAGGGCCAGGCGCGGCGACTGGTGGTCCACACGCTCATTCCCAGGGCCGTGTCCATCGAGGTTTTTGTTCTGAACACCTGGAGAAGGGAGCGAAACGGGAAGGGGAGGAGGAGGAGGAGGAGGAGGGGAGGGGGAGGACTACCAGGAGGAGGATGAGGAGGAGGAGGAGAAGGAGGAGGAGGAGGAGGAGGAGGAGGAGGAGGAGGAGGAGGACGAGGAGGAGGAGGAGGAGGAGGAGGAGGAGGAGGAGGGAGCATGGGGAGAACAGGCAGGCGGAGGAGACGGGCGCGCGAATGGGCCACCAGACTCTAGACACCCCTCCTTACGGTAGGTTTGCGTCGTGTCGACCAGCGGCGACCCCAGCGCGGGCGTTCAAGGTTGAACGCCGCCGGCGACCCAGAATCGATTGACGTTGAACGATCGGACGTTGCGGCAGCGGCCGATCGTTCAAGGTTGAACGATCCAGCGCGGTGTCAAAGACCAACGCTGGGGTCGGCACGACACGAACCTGCCGTAGGCGCTCACGCGGCCGCCGGGGGAGGAAAGGGACAGAGATGGTTTCGCTCCTAGGCGCCGCCCTCGAGGCCCCCCCGTAAAGCCCCAAGGATGTCCAAAAGGCCCCCCCAAATGTCCCCGAGATGGTCCAAGAGGTTTCTGGGACACCACGAGATCGCTCCAAGACGGCCAACACGGTCCCCTGGCATCCAAGAGCCTTCCCCAGAATGCCCGAAAGATCACAAATCATAAATTGTCCTATGGTGTTTGAGGGATTTTGACATTCTCGCCTTTGCAGCTTCCCGACGCTCAATGACGGCTTCAGAGGCCTCCAAGATCGCCCCAAGACGGCCCAACACGCCCCCTAAGCGGGCTCCAATACGGCCCAAGACGGCTCAAGAGGCTTCTAAAAACGGCCCAAGAGGCCCCGATGGCGGCTCCAAGAAGGAACCCAGACGGGGAACCCGAACTAGCATTTCGAGCCCTCGGCCCCAAAGAGTCCCCAGAAGGCCCTAAGGGGCCCCCAGAAGGCCCCCGAGAGGCCGCCAAGAGGCCCCAGGAAGCCCCAAGAGACCCCAAAGATGCTCCCAAGAGGCTCCCAAGTTGCTCCCAAGAGTCCCCAGAACTGCCCTCCAGAAGCCCCCGCGAGCGCTCCGAAGAGACCTCAAAAGGCATCCCCGAGGACTCTTGACCCACAACCAAGCCACCGACAGTAGCCAAAACCCCCACGACAAGCTCCAGAGCAACTACTCCACATCCATGCATGTTGTCGCCACGCCTCCAAGAACAAGACCACCGCCAAGCAGCGCCGCATGGGCCTCGAACGCGCTGGCAAACGCCAGCGATGGCAAAATTCGTGCCGGCGGAATGAGCGAAGCGATTAAATAACCAAAGGCCATCGATGTCATCATCATCTTCCAGCCCGGTGCCGTGGCACATCCAAAGGTCGTCCCCATCCTTGTACGGCTGGGCTCCCCTGCATCGTCCCAGTTTCGCCCCGCCTCCCACAGTCCCGCTTTCGGCTTCAAATCATGGGAGCCTTGTGTACCCTCGTAATTCTGTCTTTGAAGTGCACTAGCGGCGATTAGCGTCTGGCAGTCGATGAATTAGCGTCAATTTAGCGTCGATTCGCATCGATTGGCGTCGATTTAGCGTCGACTAGCGTCGATTAGCGCTGATTCGCAAGAGCGAAACAGAAGAGTTCGGGAGGCCCCCATGAGTTGCCACCGAGCCCGCCCAGTCCCCCCCTCCTGTCCTCCTCGCCCTCCCCGCCCCCTATCCCCCTCACCCTCCCCCGTCCCTCTGCCCCATATCATTTGCCCGTCCCTCCTCTGGAATCCTTTCGGCAGCGAGCGAGGGGGGGAAGTGAGAAGGAGAAGGCCTTCTCAGAAGGCGGCGGAACTTCTCAGAAGCCCTCTGGCCTTCTTCCAAGTTTTCAGTGTCTTCGGGGAAAGCTTAGAAAACCTTGCAAAAGGCCAGGGAACTTCCGAGCCTTCGGAGAAGGCCCGCCCCTTCTCACTTCCCCCCCGGGCGCGCCGCCAATCCTTCCCCTCCCCATACCTCTCCTCCCCACCCACCTGGACCTCTCGACTCACGCGGTCAGTTGCGTGCCCCACGATCCCAGGCACAACCAGATGCTCGTGCGCAAGCTGAACGTTACCTTGCGCTCGTTGCTCTGCTTCACGCGGCTGCTTCCAGGGCACTCCTTCTGCAGGAAAGCGACTGCGCCAGTTTTCTCATGGTATCGGCGATAATTGTTCTCACGCGAGTGCAACACAATCGTCGTTGACGGACGGAAAATGGCTATGAGATGAGAGAGGTGGACAGAGGGAAGAGACGTGGAGGCAGGGGCGGAAATGGAGGCCGGCATTCTATGCAGTCGGCGATATTGCCGAGATTGCGCTTCGGAAATTTCATTGTTCGGTCCTTCTTGTGGAACCTTTGAATCTCTGACGTGTCCTTCAGTTGTTTCGCTCTCGTTCCGCCAGCGCCGAAATCGTTGAGGTCGCTCTTGCGCGTCATGTTGTCGACGCCCATTTGGTCGACATGTCTGTCGCGACCAACGCTCGTTGTACTGACATCTGTCCTCTTGGACGAACCCATCAGGGCACTTCTATATTGGCATCCTCTGCTGGTACTTCCTCTGACTCCGCATCCCCCTCCATTCCTTTCGGTGCTAGTGTCTCCGTCACCTTTTTCTGGCTCATCATCCTTGCCTCCGTTCTCCCTTATTCCGCACTCCCCATCCGGCCCCCTAAGCTACGTGCGTCGTGGGCATGGCACCATGCGTTGGTAGTCCCATAGTTCAATTAAGTTGACTACCTGGGCATCGCAATTTCTCTCGCGCGCGACGAACTTGCAGCACCAATGGAGAACACGCGTGTGTCTGTAAAGTGTTTCCTGATCCGCATCTTCCCAGATCCCCCTCCTCCTCCCCCTCCCCCTCCTCAGCCATGTCCGTTCAGACAGTGGCCTCCTCACCAGGGTGACGCGTAAGACTCCGGGGCGCGGCGCCCTGTCTTCGAGCGACAGTTCGTGGCGCGAGCACGCGCGCGTGCACGGCTAGACGAGCGCCGGAAGAACACACGGCAGGTTCGCGCTGCGTCGACGCGGGGGCGACTGGCGTTCGGCCGACATCGAACGATGGACGTTGCCGGACAGCGGCGATCGTTCAAGGTTGAGCGACTCGGGGGCGGAAAAGAGGGGGGGGATGACTAGGGGGGGTGGATATCATGGCGGGGGCCATGATTTTTCCCGAGATTTCATGGCGCCCCTTCTTGTTTCATCACGTCCCTGGCCCCCCCGCTGGGCCGCGCACATGCCGCCGGTCATGATTTGCACCCCCCCCCTCTTGGACCCCCCCTCTTGGCCGCTCCCGATGAGCGACGGACCCGGTGTCGAAAACCAATGCTTGGATCGACACGGCACGAATCTGTCGCACGATTGCTGAGCGCAGTGTTACAGTAGGGTTAGGTCGGGCGTGTCCCCCTACAGGCGGATCAAACATGATCCAACAAATTACCAACAACAGTAGAAAAATCGCCCCCATACATTTTGTTGGTTACTTTTGAATATTCCTTCTGTAGAGGGACAGGCCCGACTTAACAGTAGTGTGTATGCTTCTTTTCTTTCCGCCCGATTGAGTATCTTCCCCCGTCTCGTCATGGCAATATTCATCATGACAGTGTTTCCCATAGTCCTCGTCCAAATGGCCACCATCCTCTCCATTCATCATGTAAGTCTCCTCCTTATCATCATAGCCACCATCAGCACACGACCTATCAGTATCCACATGTGTCTCCTCCGGTTCGTCATCACTTCTCATCATAATCGCTTTCGTGACGCGCCAATCACCACTAATCATACTTATGCTGATCGCCGTCACAAGAATCCGTATTATCCACATCACCCACAGCCATCATCGCCACCATCGTCGTCATCGTCGTCATCGCTATCGTCATCAGCATCATTAGTTACCACCACGTCACAGCCAGCGTCACATCACGCTCTATCGTAACCGTTCTCTCTCCTCTCTCGATTCTCCAGTTTGATCATGGTTTTCGCCATCATCAGATGTATCATAGTGTTTCTTCGCGCGGTCCCATTCCGACCATTCTTCATCCGCCTCATGCGCATCATCACCGCCCAGTTCTCAACATTCCTATTAACATTGTATCTCGCCCCGATTTTCTCATCATGTCCACTCACCTATGCATCGACATCCTACCACTACTTCCGCCTTGTCCAAGCGCAATCCTACTGGTCAACGTGTTGGACGGCCGGGGAGGAAAGCGTCAGGGAGGCGGGCAGATAGGGCACCGAGATCGACCACCTTCGTGGACGACAGATCGTGGTCTGCGACGACAGCAGTGGAGGTGGTGGGGCGGGTGGCCATCTGGCGCCGCTGGAGCGGACGCGCGCGAGAAGCCTCGGAAGGTCCAGCTCGTTGTTCGCGGGCGCGGGGAGGAGGCGGCGCTGCGCACGGAGGCGGCGAGGCACGACCTGGGGGCCCAGGTGGGCTTGGAGATGGAAGCCCTCGGCGTGGTCGCAGTGGGGGCACATGGCCACGTCATGCACGCGATGCAGAGCGCGGTGCGACAAATCCGCCGCTTGCAGTGCCTGCTGGTGAGCCGGCGCAGGAAGCAGGAGCATTGCAGGGTATCCGAGTCGTCCAGAAGCACCTATGGCTGGATGGCGAAGATTCCGCCCCTGCCAAGGCCGATTGGGTGACGGCAGTAATCAAGAGGGATGCAGGCGGATGCCCCATGGGGTCCAGGCGCATCGTGAATATCCTAGAGGGGGGCGCCGTCGCGGCTGACGTAGTGATCGATTGACTGCAAGTGGCCTCGACGCGGAAGCGGCTGCGGAGGAAAAGCGATGGCCCCTGGCACATGTAAAGGCACCGCAAACGCTGCACGCTGGCGGCAGAGGTGAGGTGCTGGCTACGCAAGGTGGGCTGGCAACTGGAGGCGGACCACCTGGCGCCACGCGAGCACGGGGACAAGACAGGACCTGCATGAGCGGCCTGCCTGGCACGAGGTGGACAGGGATGTGCACTTCCGGCAGATGCACCAGGTGCGCGAGGCGAGGGCTGGCGCTGGCAGAACTGGCAGCAGTCCAAGGGCCGGAAGCGGAGGGGCGCGAGCCCGATGCAGGGCGTCGCCTGCGAAGAGGCCCGCGCGAAGTTTGTCCAGGACGCGGCGAGGGCCGGCGGGTGAGGATGCACGCGCTGCGCGGGCCCTTCCTGCCGCCGCCGGCGGCGAAGGCAGCCCGGGAAGGCGTGTTCGACGAGGCGCGCCATTGCGCGCGGCCGGGCCGCGACGAGGCGCTACCAGACCAAAACCACATCGAGCGGAGGCGCAGCCAGTGGCCCTCGCGCGCGCGCCAGGCCAGCCGGCGGGCGCGCTGCAGGCGCGCCGAGGCTTGCCAGCTCGAGGCAGTGGCGAGGAGGACCGGCCAGGCGGCGCTGCTCTGTGTGATGGAGGTGGCGGAGCGTACCGGGGACGTCGGGCATCCGGCTCGCCAGCGGCGCGGGCGCGCAGCCCCGCGGGGAGGCCGGGGCGGAGACGACCTCTAAGGAGGAGGAGGAGCAGCAGCGCCAGCAGGACAAGGAGGGCGAGAAAGCAGAGGAGGAGGGGTCCCACGTCGACGGGAGAGGAGGCAGACGGGGAGGAGGAGGTCGAGGAGGGGCGGGGGCACCCGCGCAGGCGGGTCCCCTTAGGCAGGGGGAGGTGGCGCAGGAAGCAGCGGGTAGGGGGCGGCGCGTTGGTGTCGTGATTATACAAATGAGCGTCGCAGTGTTGTTGGCCGCCGCCATCATGGTCGCAATCATCATTCGCATCGTGGCCATATTCCACATGCGCACGGTCGCATGCATGTTTCTATAATGCGAGTCAGAATCGGAACCGTCATGGTAATCATATAATCGTTTTTCATATGCATGATTACCTCTAGCGTCGGTACCTTCCGTATTTTGATCATCATACCCCACGTGTCTTCACCATCGCATTCACAGTCATCATAATCTCAATTGTCATAGTTTTCGTAGTCCGTCTTAGTCTGCTCGTTATCAACTTTTCCTGCTTTTTAATCGTATTCGACTTGATTGCTCCCCCACCTGCTCCTTCGCAGCGTCAGCTCAGCGTAATCGCCACGACAATTACGATTTCCCGGACCATCGATGGGCACATCTTCTTTATTTGTGTTATTCTCTCTCTCCCCTCTCTCTCTCTCCCTTTCTCTCTTACATAAGTATGTAGATAGATGTATCCCTGTCTCTCTACAAATATGTCTGCATGCGTACATGTATGGATGTACGTGTTTATGTAACACATGTATGTCTATGAATACGTATATGTGAGCATATGTATGCGTGAACATATGTATGCATGCATGTATGTATGCATATATCTAGTATGTACGTATGTGTGTATGTATGCATGCAGATCTGCATAGATGTCTCTATGATTTTCGCTGTCTCTCTCTCTCTCTCTCTTTTTTCCTTTATCTCCCTTTATTCATAAATGTGCGTGTGTGGTCCCAGTCTTTGTTTCCCAGGCGGAGGTGTTCGCATTGTTTGAGGTGTGGTTTTGCTCCCGCGCCTCGATTGCGGAACGTAGCGCCCGAAAGTGTTGTAGTTTTGCTAGCGATTGTTATACATCCGCACACCCATGTACTCGTGGGCGGGGTGGCGACGACGGGCTGGATGTTGAGGCGGGGAAAAAGCATACCCGCATTTCTCCCCCCTGGAACGTTTGCCTTCACATCCATGTGCTTCGTATGTGCACACGCAGCGGCCCGCTGAAGGAGTATGCGGGGTGGGCAGTTGCACTGGCGCTTCCACGTGGAGGCCAGCCGCTGGGAGTGTGGTGGGTCAAGCCGACGGTCGTCACTTGCTCTCGCCCCCGCTTAACATATCCGCCCTCTTCCAAGCTGTTTCCCATCATTACATGTCTCTCTTCCCCAGTGCTCGGCCTGCCCCCACCACAATCCTTGGGGACGCTGGCAGTGAGCAGTGCCGGATCAAGAAGTCCCGAAGTGCGGCATGTTTTTGTTTCTTCTTCCTGTTCCAGCGCCATAATGTTCAACATGCGTTCCTTGATCCCTCGGCTGGTCCATTTGGTTTTCGGCATTGGGACTGGTCAGTTTGGGCAGGTGTGTTCTATGTGTCGCACATGGAATGATCGTGGTGAAAGTGGCGACCCAGCCGTCGCAAAATGGATATGGGACTACTGGGGTAATCTTCTGTCGTCGGGCAGGATGTACGCATGCTTGGTCTGTCTCCATTGCTCGTGATGAGAACTTGCCCCCACCACCAGCTTGATTTCTCCTCTCCCTGCTTCCCCATTCACCCCTGCCGCCTCTCATCCTCGGCCTCCTCCTGCTCCCCCACGGCCTCCTCCCCAGCATCCCTGGCACCGTCGCCTGCCGTTGGCCAAGTCCGCCCCCGGCGCACAGGGCTGGCCTCCTACAGCCCGTGGCCCTCCGGCGCAGGAGCCGCAGGGGGAGGAGGAGTAAGAGGAGGAGGAGGAGGAGGAGGAGGAGGAGGACCATGCGAATCTGGGATTGCATTCTTGACGCTTGTCTCGCACGTGTGCATCCGTGTTACTTGATGGTTCAGAGGGCCTTTGGGCTGAAGGCATCAGCGGAAAGTCATCAGCAGCATACGCAGCATCGTATTCAGGTCGCATGTTCACATCGGCAGCGGAGCAGTTCGACCTGCGGACTGCGCAAGCTCGATAGCCGAGCCCATCAGGATCGTCCGCTACGTTCAGCACTGGGGAGATGTTGCCCAAACGGGAGGCAGAGAGGAAAGATAGGTTTTGCTACAGAAGAACAAAACACAAAAGGTTTCGTGAAGCCGCCCACATACGAACCCCAGAATTAGTATGAGAGATTCGTTGCGCCACGTCCAGGTGTGGAAAATTCGCACCAGAGTGCCGGCACATAAGCAAACAGCACAGTCGCATGGAGAAGGCAAAGGTGACGCGTGCGCACATGAAAAAGGTTTATATCCGAACACGTTGGCGATTGACCCTTAGGATGGATACGGAGTTCACATATTGTTATCTGTGTTGGTTGGGACGTGCGGTGCCAAGAATGTGATGGAACTGGAATCTTAGTTTGGAATCATCTTCACCAGCGTGCGTGGAGGCTGTGGAGAAAAGGGAGAAGCTACACCAACAGGTTCGACACCCAGGTTTCGAGGCTCAACAAGGTAGAAGGTACGTTCTCCAGCGAGGCTTCGGTATGGCGGTTCACGTGGTGGAATGGTTTACCACGATCGAGAGTCTGGAGTCTTGCACGACAATCAAAACACGCATGAGTTCAAGCAGTTGATGACGTGAATAGTCTCGCACGTCAAGGATGCCATAAGTTTTAGAACGTATCATCCCCATAACGTTGACAGGGCCTCCGTCCAGACCTTCAGCACGACTTCGACGCTGAGAGTCTCAGATGGCAGATGACGATATCATAGAAGGGGGGGCCCACGACGCGCCAGGGGCATAATAATATGTTGAAGACTACCACTATGAATTTTTGGAGGAGGAGACGGAGGCCGTCATCGAAGTGTTCAAATGGTAAAAGAAGCTCGCCAGGACCCACGAGGGTTCTATCACCGTCATCGGCTACCTGGAAGTGCCAAGGGTCGCCATTGAAAGGGCCGACGGACAAAAAAGGTGGAGCAGCGGCGAGGGAGAGGGTTGCGAACACGCCGCAAACATTAAAGTTCGCGCTCTCTGCGCCATGCGTCATCGACTTGGACATTGGAATGGATATACAGAGTGCCCTGGAGCTCCCAAGCCAGCTAGTTCTCATCGCTGGCAACGAGACAGGACGAGGCAGAGGCAGCCTGCTGATATTTTACAAGCGTGAGCTGGACCGACCGGGAGCAGCACATTTCATCGCAGAGCTTCTTCGTCCAACCGTCCTATGCAAATTTGATGGCCGCAAACGTGGTCACGGTTTCGAGAGAGAAGCACTTGCAGCAGTGCGGTGGCGATGCGCTGCCAGATTCGCGCTGCGCCAGATGCGCGACGACATCGAGCATATTTTGGCTATGTTGGGCTCGAGGCCCATCGGGCTCAATAGTATGACTCGCGTCGGTTTGGGGATGACAAACACATTCACAGCGCTATCGCCGCTCTCTCCCCCTCGTCGATCGCGGGCAGGCACGCCGCCCCGATGGTCGCGATCTCGCCGCGCCTGCAGCCAGGGCCATCGTCGCAGCGGGCGCCGGGGCAGCTTGGCGCAGCGCGTCGCGACGGCGACGTGCTGGGCGAGAGCAGCATGGCGTTGTTCCAGATTTATCAGAGGCGCCGCTGGGCTACCCCGCGACCGCGCGCCCGAGTTTGGGCGGCCTAGAGTTCGACCGCGCCCGCCTTGTCGCCGTGGCTCCAGGCGCGAGCCCCAGCCTGACAGAGATCAATCAGACTGCTGTTGCCGCTGCAGCGACGGCGGTCGCAGACGTCGAGGAACAACGACGCGATCGCCCGCCGTCGTTCCTCGCAGATCGCGCGATGCCAGCAGGCGATCGCGAGCGACTGCCAGCAGAGCGACTCGAACGCGTGCCCCGTCGCGATCGACTACCAGTCGGGCGATCTGGATCAGCGGCCAAAGTTGCGCGGGCATCGCCCGCCCCAAGAAGCCGGAAAACGGCGCGCCTCGAGCCGCGCAGCAAGCAGATCGACCCGAATCCTTGCTCTCATGCTGAAGTCAAGCCCCCGCCAGCAGCGGCGCCCGACCATTGACCTGGAGGCGCCGTTCGAGCTCAAGATGCGGCGCCACCTGTCCCTGAACCAGATTGCCGGGGCTGGGGCATAGTGGGCCTTCAGCGCAGGATAGTCGCGCGGACTTCGTTCGACAACGCGTCGCGACGCATCGGGGCCCAGGGGGCAAGCTGGGGCCCAGGTGGGAGAGCAAGCCGAGCCTTATTCTCGCAGCCACTACTGCATAGTTGACGACCCCGCGGGCCAGCGCAGCAGCGCCATCTCGACTTTCGCGACGATGCTCGGAGGCGCCAGGGCGCAAAGGGACTGGAAGGCCGATCAGAAGACCAGATGCATCTCTACCGAAGGGCAGTCGAGGCGCACTGGGAGAAACGGGGGAATTTCGGCGCGGTGGACATCGCGCCCCTCGCGCAATCCGAACCAGCACCGCAGATCCACGACAGGAATCGGTTCTCTCCCTCAATTCGCGCCCAGGGGCAAGAGCGCCAGCGCGAGAGCACCGAAATCGACTCAGGGCCCATCGCGGCGAAAGCACGGGCGCGTGCTGGAGGACATCGAGATCCCGGTTTTCAGGTCGGAGCGCTCAGACCCGACGCGCCGAGGACAAGCTCACCGTCATTTGCCATCGCGGGCGCGCGCCAAGGCTGGGGCCCGACATGCGCCGACGTCACGCCAGCACGCATGCCAGGAGACGAGCGACGGAGGAACCGCCGCGAGGCCTTCCTGGCTCGCCAGGTACTTCGAGCGGCGGGGGGGCCGTCGGCCTTGAGACGACCCCCAGGCAATGGCGGGCCACGCTCAAGACCGCAGTTCACATGGAACAGCTGTTGGAATCGGGTGGGCAATTTTTCCAGTTGAAGCAGAGTCTGGCTGATCCTGCGTTGCTCGCTGGCTGCGGCAAGGGCGTTGTTCCATTGCAGGTGATCGCGCGCGCGCAAGTCGATAACCTACTCACTGCAGCCAGACACTGTTCACTCTTACCGGCAAGGGCTAGCGCTCACCTTCTGCGCCAAAGGATGCGATGGTCAAGCCTCGCGATTCAATCTAACGTTGCCAAAGGGTGATTGTTGAGTACTGGGGGGGGGGGGGGGGGGCTTCGGAGATTCCTAGGGGTCCCCAGCGCGCCTTCCACGCCAGGTTGCAAACGTGGAGGTAGCCGAGAATCGGAGTCTGTTTGGGAGTGTCGGCTGGCTCTTATTCTGGGACGCGCCCCGACTTATCAGCTTGAGTGCCTATGGCGCGGGAAGTTCAGAACTCCCCCGCCGTCGCAGACCCCATCGAGGCGAATCGCTTCGCGCCCGAGGCCTGCCAGTAGAACGGCGCGGGCATGTTCACCCCCAGCATGAAGGGCGACCCGAGCATCCGAGTGTTTCACTCTGTTTCGCGCGCCATCGTGTGCGAGCCTTTCGACGCGGTCGCTGGCGCAGCCTTGTGGGTCGCACGTCGGGCAATATCATCATGTGTTCCGGACGCGTCCAGGCGATTCGACGCCATACGCCAAGCAGGATGATTGAGCTACGCTGCCCGGAGGAAGCTCCTGGACAACGGCGGAGGGACAGTTGCTCTCGTGGGCAAGAGGTCCGCTGCCATCTGGCGGATTTACCGCAGCACGCTCGCCTCCGAGACTATGGGTGTTGCGGGCGCCCGCATAGCCGCCAAAGTGATCAGAGCATAGATTCTGAATCTGCCGAATTGGAGATTTGCTTCGAACCACAACGACACGAGTTTGTATTCAATCATATGTGTTCCCAGTTGTGATTCATTGTACGACACCGTACCTCGTAATGAAGTTGGCAAGCTATCTTCTGAACGACGTTTGCTTGTAGATGTGATGGGATATCGCGAGCTTTTGGGATATGGGCTGGACAGGGAGACGGCAGCAGCAGAGAGAGTCAGACTTCCGTTGTCGTGGTGCCCGGCCAAGCGTGTGTTCGCTGACGCTCTCACCAGGACCAGGCGGTACACAGGTACGAGCAGCTATGAACAGCAGGCTGTCGATGTTTCGTCACGATTTGCCCGCCGAAATTCATGATGACAGCGGTTCCTTGGTAACCTCATGAGCCACGAGCTTGGGGACATGGATTCGGTCGTGACCGCCCCATTTAATATCACGCGAACTTTCGCGCACACCCGCGCCAAGCACGCCTTTTCTGTTGTTCGCTTCGCTTGCTCCGTTCAGGCAGTCTACGATATCATCCAAGCGTGAAGGGGGTGAGTTGGGGAAGGAGGGGGAGGAGGACGATTAGGAAGGGGAAGGGGAGGAGGGGTGGAGGGATGGGGGAGGAGGAGGAGGAGGAGGAGGAGGAAGAGGAGGAGGAGGAGGAGGAGGAGAAGGAGGAAAAGGAGGAGGAGGAGAAGGAGGATACTCGAGAAGGGGAAGAGGAGGGGAAGGAGGAGGAAAAGGAGGAGGAGGCGGAGCCCGTGGGGGCTGGCGGACCGACTGGCTCGCTTATCCTGTCCTAGCTTGCAGTCTGCGCCCCTTCCACCTTGCTGCACTGTCCGCCCCTTTTTGTCTCGCCTTGACTTTCAGTTTGGGTAACGACTTCTTTGCACTCTTATCGACCGACCGACCGACCGAGGGTGAGGGGGAGGGGATTCTCATGGGGAGGGCGATTGGAAGAGAAGGGGGGAGGCGGACGTGGATGGGGCGAGGAGGAGAGAAGAGGCATCAGCGGCTCTTCAAAAGCCCTAGTGCGAGCAGTTTCCTGTCGACCCGTGCGCCCACAGGAGCTGGCCACGCAGGATTTCGCGTCGCTGCAGAGCTCCATCGGCGCCCTCAGGCTCTCGGTGTCGCACCGGAAGGAGCTGAAGGCTCTAGCGTTTCTTTCTCCCTTCTCCCGTCTCCCACCCGCTCACCCTCTCCCTCCAGTCCCTTCCATCCTTGTGGCACAGCGCGCGACCGAACGTCACGCAGCAACCCCGTTCCAGTATGCTGCGTCATTCGTGTTGGTTCTCCTGGTGTTGCTGGTGTGGGTGCAGGAGCGGGGTGTCGCGATGGTGTCACGATGGTATCCCTGTTGCACCGCGGTTGTGGCGCGTTAGTGTCACAGTTGTGTCGTGTAGGCGTTCCGATGTATTCACGATGGCGTTGTAATGATTGCGCCAATCGATTAATGTCCACTCACGCTTCAGGATTCTATGATTGTGTCTTCATTGAGGCCCGAATGGTTAATCGACTCTGTCCCGATGGCGACACGACCGTTGGACAGTATGAGCATCGACTCGATTGTAAGGATGCGTGCGTATCCCAAATATACCCGTGCATGCGTGCAGTGCACTCCCATATTTAGCCGCTATCGGCGTTGCATGTGAGGCTGCTTGGAAGACCAAGGGCATCCTCACCGTGCATCCTCGTGAACAGATCGTGTGAACGAGCGCGGATCCTACGAGAGCCAAGAGCTGGTTGCATAGAAACCACATGTTAGCCAAACTCGGAAGCCGGGCAAGGGCTGCTAAATCCGTGGCTGCTAAAATCGACCTCCGGGAAGTTGTCTTCGTCCTTCCGGGAAGAAGCCCGTTGACTGTTTCGCGTGCCGCCGCCTCATTCCGGGAAGTTGTTTTTTATTCTTCCGGGAGGGCCGTTTTAGCAGCCACGGTTTTTGCAGCCCTCGCCCAGCTTTCGACAAACGCGGCGCACCCACCACACACCGACCAGCCATAATTGGGGGAGCTGTGGCCCTTACCCCCTGGGGGACCCCCATCGCATCGACGACCTCTCGAGAGGGGTGCCGAGGGGCAAGGGGCACGGCTCCCCCGGTTGTGGCTGGCCTGACGCGCTCACTTTTCCTTGGCAGCCGCGGCCTCGCGCGCAGCGCCGAGGCGGAGCAAGCAGAGCAGCCGGCACCGAGCCGGCGCGCGCGGCCGGGCACTCGAGACGCGAGATCGCGCCAGATCGACCGCGCTTGTCCACTCGGCCGAGGTGGGGACCAAGAACATGCGGGCCGGACGAAAGGGGGGGAGGAGGAGGAGGAGGGGGAGGGAGAGGAGGAGGAGGAGGAGGAGGAGAAGGAGGCGGAGGAGGAGGAGGATGAGGAGGAGGAGGAAGACCTCCAGGAAGACCTCCAGGAAGACCTCCAGGAGAAGAAGGAGGAGGAGGAGGAGGAAGACCTCCAACAAGAAGACCTCCAGGAAGGCCCGAGGAGGTCCTCCAGGAAGGCCCGGGGGTACGAGATCTGCTGCATGCAGCTGGATTCGGCCCCGCCGCCGGGCCCACTCCTCGATACATGGGCGCCTCCCGGCGCCGGGAGGCGCCGGGAAAAGCAGCACGAGCTGATTCTCAAGGCCCCCCTCCTGCAGACCCGGGGTGCGAACTCCTGGCTGGGAGCTGTGCCAGGAAAACAGTGACCTTGGTCGTCCTTGCAGAGACCAGGGTCCCATCCGGTGTCCTCGCCGTCCTCTGCGGAAGGGCCGAAAGCGAATGCCCAGTCCTTCCAGAGAGGAGCGGCCTGCGCAGCGCGGGGAGCGTCGACCGCAACCACGGCCGAGACGCGATCGAGGAGACTCTCGCGGAAGAACCAGTCGCTCGCGCTCGCGGGGGAGATTTCCTCGGGACTGGCGAGGGCCCGCTGCTTGGGCGGAGGGGCCATGTCGGAGGCGTTGCGGATCCCACCAGGCCGCAGGGGGGCGTGTGAGGGGCTGGCACCGATGGCGCCTGCAGCGTGGGGAAATCCACCACGCTCGGGGGCGGGCGACTCGGAGTGGCGCGGCGCGCTTGGGACGGCACTCGGCAGGGGAAGATTGGCGTTGCTTGGGCGCCCGCGCGCGTAGACTGGGAGCTCCGCGTGGGCTTCGGGAAGCGACGTTTTCCAGCCGGAGCCAGGCTCGCGCGCGGGCGTGGGGCGTGCGGGCGCGAGGCAGAGTGAGGCATGACCGTGGCCCTTGTGAAACGATGGCGCCCCCGTCAAGTCGGCAAGGGGTAGGGGTCCGCAGTCCCAGGCTCGGTTGCCCTTGCCCCAGTTCACATCGTCGGTGGCCCGCCAGCAGTGGGCAGACTCCTGTGGTCTGGGCGGGTGCCGGGCGGGTGGAGGGATCCCCGCTGGCCGAGGCACCCGGCCCGTTCCGTGGACCCTTGCGGAGATTGTCGTTTTGGTCGCTTCAGGGCCCAGGTCGTTCAGGATTCTTCTTCGTGGCCTCGGGGTCTTGAGGTAGCGGCTGATGGCAGGGCCGTGATTTGCCTCATCTGCAGCCACCTCGGATGTTCGTTGTCGCCAGCACCGTGGCATCATCACCACCATCATCAGCGCCACTGTATCACCATCCGCGCTTCCCTTCGACGAGTGCACTTCTGCACGCTGCGCACTCGGCCAGCGGCGCCGACCCGCCGCGGCCTGCAGCTTTTTGCCCAACAAGCGTTGAGCAGCGCGCGCCCCATCCAGGTAGCGCAACATGTGTTTCCAAACCATGCCAGGATCCCAGCCCAACGCCGCGCTCCCAATTTGACTCTGGAGAAAACGTCCAGGAGCGAGGAACTTACAGAACAACCTGAGCCGAAATGGCTACGGAGGAGGAGGAGGACGACGACGATGACGAGGGCGAGGAACAGAGGAGGAGGGAGGGGTCGGCGAGGGATGGAAGGAGCATGAGCAAGGAGAAGCAATCGGATCGTGAGGAGGAGGTGGAGGAGGAGGAACAGCAGCAGCGGGAAGACGACCACGCAGGCCACGACGACCACGACGACCACGACGACCACGAACCACGACAACGAACGCGAGCCACGAACACGACGACCACGGCGACCACGGCGGTGGACGACGACGGCCATGACGTTGACCACCGCCACCACCATCGCTACCTCCAGTAGCAGCAGCCAGGGCCTGGCGTCTGGCGCGGAGGCCCCCCCCGCGGGCGTCCAGTTCAAGGGCACCTCCGGCTACAGCGCCCAGGGAGACCAGATTGAGGCCGAACCGCGGGGGGGAACGCGCAGCCCCTGCTGAGAGATGGAGAGGACGAGAAACAAATGGGAGTCCCACCGGGGGGGAGGGGAGGAGCGGAGGATGGGAGGAGAGGAACGAGGAGGGACGGAGGGAGGAGAGGGAGGAGAAGAGGAGGAGAAGAGGAGGAGAAGAGGAGGAGGAGGAGGAGAAGGAGGAGGAGGAGGAGGAGAAGAAGGATGAGGAGGGGGAAAAGGTGGGGGAAGAAGAGGGGAGAAGGACCGGCTTGCCTGCTCTGCTGGTTGGCCATCTTGAGGAGGAGCGCCAGCTTCGGCCCAAGTACCTGCAGGGAGGGGAGGGGGCAGAGGAGGAGGAGGGGGAGGAGGAGGGGGAGGAGGAGGAGGAGGAGGAGGAGGAGGAGGAGGAGGAGGAGGCGCGACCACGGCAGCGCCAACCAAAGGCTTAACGGCTGACTTGAAAACGGGCTTTCCATGGATGTTTTCCAGGTTTTGGAATCAATCTCGGGCCAGGTGGCAAGCTTATCGTGAGAAATCGAAGAAAACGGAACAAGAATTGTTAGTCGGAGTTTCAGCATGTATTTGCGTTTCCGTGGGCCCTCCCAAGTTTTGAGCCGCGATGTTTGCGAGTCGGTCGGCCACGTCGGTTCCAGGGGCGAGATGTTTTTCTTGGGTACGAGGTCGAAATCCCTTGATCCTCAGACGAAGTGCCAGGTCGATCGTATGGTGTATATTTCCAGGAGGGGGTATAAACATGCTGATGCGCGTGCACTCGTGGCGGTGATGGCACGCCTTTGACGCTGACGGACAGCGCACAGCCCCAGCCTTGCGTACACTGTCGTCCGGTCATACCGTCATACCCATGATGTGCATAGGTGTCGATGGCTCCCAGGCGGTCAGAGCGAATCGTGCGCAGGCACAGGTGCGGATGGACGACGGAGAGGCCGAAGTGCGTTGCAGCGGGGTGGGCGGCGGGAAGCAACACTCCTGTCTTCCCAAGCAGGTGGGCAGCGCAATCCTTCCGCCATCTAAGACAACAGTTGGTCACCGCATTCGGCGCCAGAAAGCTGGGCCGTGCATCAAGAGGCTGTCGTCATCCACGATGCCTTGTCCAGCCACGGCTGCCTCGAGGGGATTCTTATTGGGGGTAGAGTGTCAAACTTCAATACCACCCACAGTTCGCTTGCCCATATTTTCTGGGCAGGTTACTACAGTTTCGCGGAGCGTCAAGAATTGTATTACCTGGATGAGTTCGAGAAAGACATTTGATTGCACAACGAGCCATTACGCTCTATTCCAGCAATAGGGGGTATCGATTGTGCTCCAGCCAGTTGGCCAGCAGCGGGAAATATATCATGCGGCCATTGCATAACTGCATAACGTTGACCTTGGGGGTTTTGCAAGCGCAGTAATGTACGCATCGCTGGCGAACAGTGGGTGGAGCGAGGAGGAGGAGGAGGAGGAGGAGGAGGAGGAGGAGGAGGAGGAGGAGGAGGGGGAGGAGGAGGAGCAGGAGGAGGAGGAGGAGGAGGAGGAGGAGGAGGAGGAGGAGGGGGAGGACAGGCAGCGGAGGAGCAGTGGCAGCGGAGTGGAGGGACAGGGAGGGATTCGAGGATGGGGGCAGGAAGGAGGCGCGAGACGGGGGGGGAGGAGCAGGAAGAAGCATGGGAGGAGTGGAGTGGAGCGACGCGGACGGAGCTCCGAAGGACGGGGAGGGCAGGGGGCGGGCTCAGGCGGATGGGGGGGGAGGAGGGCCGACGCGGGGAGGGAGGGCCCGCCTCTCCCGGGCCTCCCCTGGAGAGCTGGCCGCGCGGCGGCCGCGCTCTCGCCGCGCCCCGCCCGCCCCAGAGAGGTGGAGGAGGGCTACGTCACCGCCCCGAGCGGCGCACAGCCCGCGTCGGCGCGGGGAAGGCCGCGCCGCGCCGCGCGCGCCGCGCGGGCACGCGCAGCGGCAGCAGCGCTGGGTCCCGCTCCCTCCCTCCCGCGCCCGCCCGCCGCCCGCCCGAGGGGCGCCCGCCCGCCCGCCCGCCTGCCCCCTGGGCGTGCACGTGTTGGCTCCCGCTCCCTCCCGCCGCCGTCCTCTCCCCGCTTCCTCGAGAAGAGGCCCGCGCACCCGGCGATCGGAAGGGACGGGCGGGAGGGGCGGGGTGCCCCTTCTCTTCTCGTCGCTCTCTCGCTCCTCGTCCTCCCACTGCGCCTCGTCGCTTCCTCCCGATTTGCCCTCCGATGCGTCCATGGGGGCGGCGGCGGCCAGCGGGTGGTGGAGGCAAGGTGACCCTGGCGGGCGAGCCTGCGGCGAGTTCTGTTTGTTGGGACGCCCTCAGACGCAGAGTCTTGGGAGGAGAAGGGGGGAGCAGCAGGATCAGGAACAACGGAGCAGGAGCAGGAATGAAGGAGGCGAGGAGCACGAGCACAAGGAGGAGGAGGAGGAGGAGGAGGAAGAAGAGGAGGAGGAGGAGGAGGAGAACGAGAAGGAGGAGGAGGATCAAGAGGCTCAAGGCCGCACCAACCCTGCGTTTGAGGCCGCGGTAGCTTCGCGCTTTCACGCATCCATCTCCGTCGCGGTCTCTCTCTCTTTCTTATCACCTCCCGAGCTCCTTCCACTTCCCCTCCTTCCCACCACCTCCCTCCCTCCCCCTGCCTCTCCCACCACCTCTCTCCGTCTCTCCCTCCCCCTCCTCCGCGAGTCCTCCCTCGCTGCCTCCTTCCATCCCTCCACCCATCCCTGCCCCCCCCCTTCGTCGTCTCCCCCCCGCCTCCTTCTCGCCCCTCCCGGGCCCTCTCTTTTTCTCCGTCCCCCGCTCGCCCTTCCTGCCTCGCTCACCCGCCTTCCTTCCCTCCCCATCCGACTGCCGCGAGGCCGGAGAAGACAAGCCCCCACGGGGTCTCGCCCGGTTCCGCGGGGCTTCGAGTGCCTCCCCTCCCCCCCCTGCGCGGCCCGGCGGGCCGTCTCCAGGGGGGTCCGAGAGGCCTCGAGCGCATCCCGTCCCCCCCGCTGCCCCCTCCCCGCTGTGCTCTAGGCCTTCCAGATGGGGCCCGAGCAGATGGGGTCGGAGGATCGCGCCCCATCGCCGACGCATCGGCGATGCGGCTCGATGCGGAGCCCGATTTTTCCCCACGCCGACGTCGCCGATGCATCAGCCACATCGACGACGTATCGCCGATTCATCGCCGATGTATCGGCGATGCGGCGCGATCCTCCGACACCATTTACTCTGAAGTCGGGCCTGTCCCCCTACTGGGGGATTTTCGACGAAACATTAAAAATACCAACAAAAATAATCCGAACATAGTCTGGGGACTATGTTTTGAGTAATTGTTTTACCTTTTGGAGGTATTTTGGGGGGTATGTTTCTTTATATCTTGTCTCAGGAGAGGAAAAAACACACAGACACAATTAATCGTCGATTCCCAGGAAAAGATGGGAAAATATGGGAAGTGGGGGGGGAGACAAAAACCCAGGAAATATAGGAAAATATGGAGAATATTTTTATTTGTGTGTATTTATTTGTGTGTCCTGGGGCCCCTTCATTGTCGAGAATCTCCCTGCAGGGGGACTCGCCCGACTTAACTCTACCCCGACCCCATCCAGGAGGCCTCCAGCTGCCCCCCTCGGGCGCCGCGAGGCTGGACAAGATCGCCGAGGAGCCCGACGACCGCGCCCCGAGCCCGCGGGGCCCGGGCGAGCCGCCGGCAGCGGGCCGGCAGGCGGCCCAGCACGTCGAGGCGCGCCCCAGGCCCACCTCCTCCTCCTCCTCCTCCTCCTCCTCCTCCTCCTCCTCCTCCTCCTCCTCCTCCTCCTCCTCCTCCTCCCCCTCCTCCTCCTCCCCCTCGGTTCGGGGGCGCCCCGGCCAGCCCGGGGGCCCTGGCCAGCCGTGCGCTCTTCCAGGGTAGGCTTCTTTTCCACGAGGAATACACACACTCAAAAGCTAGGGGACGGGCCGAGGCCCCAGGGCCCCAGGGGGAATTCTCTTGAGGAAAAGACGCAACACCAAAAGTTGCAGTGTTTAGCACGCCAGCCGTGCGCTCTTCCATGGTAATGGAGGATGACGATTGATAAATGACCGGGGGTCGTGTTCACGCGGCGGCGCCCGGGATGACGATTAGAAAAACCGGCCGCGGGCTGGAAACACTTTCTTTTTTTTTTTGTTTTCAATCGTTCTCCTCCAGTCAGAAAACTGTGCAGAAATAGCAGAACACTTTTTTTCAATCGTCCTCTCCCATTTTTCCCAACCATCCTGTGGTGTTGGGTCCTCGTTTTGAAGAGACGGTGCCCCGCGTCTCTCCTCCTCTCCTCCTCCTCCTCCTCCTCCTCCTCCTCCTCCTCCTCCTCCTCCTCCTCCTCCTCTCATCATCAGCATCATCATCATCGTCATCGTCACCGTCATCATCAGCATCATCATCATCATCGTTCTTATCACCATCGTCGTCATCATCATCGCCGTCTCCATCATGGCCACACGTTTCGTGGACCCATAGTGAGCTCCACCGAAGGCCCCAGTGGCAAGGTCCGCATGCGGTTCCACCTCCATTTCGGCGCACCCCTCACACGTTCCGTGGCCCCATAGGGAGCTCCACCGAAGGCCCAAGTGTCAGGGTCCGCATGCGGTTCCACCTCCATTTCGGCGCACCCCTCACACGTTTCGTGGCCCCATAGGGAGCTCCACCGAAGGCCCAAGTGTCAGGGTCCGCATGCGGTTCCACCTCCATTTCGGCGCACCCCTCACACGTTTCGTGGCCCCATAGGGAGCTCCACCGAAGGCCCAAGTGTCAGGGTCCGCATGCGGTTCCACCTCCATTTCGGCGCACCCCTCACACGTTTCGTGGCCCCATAGGGAGCTCCACCGAAGGCCCAAGTGTCAGGGTCCGCATGCGGTTCCACCTCCATTTCGGCGCACCCCTCACACGTTTCGTGGCCCCATAGGGAGCTCCACCGAAGGCCCCAGTGTCAGGGTCCGCATGCGGTTCCACCTCCATTTCGGCGCACCCCTCACACGTTTCGTGGCCCCATAGGGAGCTCCACCGAAGGCCCAAGTGTCAGGGTCCGCATGCGGTTCCACCTCCATTTCGGCGCACCCCTCACACGTTTCGTGGCCCCATAGGGAGCTCCACCGAAGGCCCAAGTGTCAGGGTCCGCATGCGGTTCCACCTCCATTTCGGCGCACCCCTCACACGTTTCGTGGCCCCATAGGGAGCTCCACCGAAGGCCCAAGTGTCAGGGTCCGCATGCGGTTCCACCTCCATTTCGGCGCACCCCTCACACGCTTCGTGGCCCCATAGGGAGCTCCACCTGAGGCCCCAGTGGCAGGGTCCGCATGCAGTTCCACCTCCATTTCGGCGCACCCCTCACACGTTTCGTGGCCCCATAGGGAGCTCCGCCTAAGGCCTAAGTGGCAGGGTCCGCATGCAGTTCCACTTCCATTTCGGCGCACCCCTCACACGTTTCGTGGCGTCATAGGGAGCCCCGCCTAAGGCCCAAGTGGCACGGTCCGCATGCAGTTCCACCTCCATTTCGGCACACCCCTCACACGTTTCGTGGCCCCATAGAGAGCTCCGCCTAAGGCCCAAGTGGCAGGGTCCGCATGCAGTTCCACCTCCATTTCGGCGCACCCCTCACACGTTTCGCGGCCCCATAGGGAGCTCCACCGAGGGCGCCAATGGCAGGGTCCGCATGCAGTTCCACCTCCATTTCGGCGCACCCCTCACACGTTTCGCGGCCCCACAGGGTGCTCCACCGAAGGCCCCAGTGGCAGGGTCCGCATGCAGTTCCACCTCAATTTGGCGCACCTCTCACACGCTTCGTGGCCCCATCGGGTGTTCCACCAACGACGATACTTACAACGGCGGCATTCGGAATTGCGTATGGTTGGGCCCTTCGCCAGGATAATTTTATTAATCGTCTTCCCGCATTAGGCTTGTTTTCCACGAGGGATAAGAATACTCAAAAAAATAAGGGACGGGCCGAGGCCCCAGGGGGGAATTCTTCTTTGGGAAAAGAAGCAAGACCCAAAGTTGCAGTGTTCAGCACGCCAGGCACCTTTTGTGGCAAGACCGCAGGGGCGGCTGATTTGGTGTTGTTCGATGCGTCCCGCCACCGCGGGGGACGGAGGTGGAGGATGGGGAGGAGGAGGAGGAAGGAAGAGGAAGAAGAGGACCCCTCCCCCTCCTGCTTGTGGTGGTGGCGGCGGAAAACAAGCCCACCATTCCGACTTTTACTACGGGCAGGCGCGAGTGTCTTGGTCGTGTTTCTCGCGACGTCCTCCACGAGTGCTGAGCACACCAGCCTGGTTGAGCCACGCACTGCGATGGCAGAAGTCCTGTGAATCCTCCCTTACCCTCATCTTCGTCTCCCCTTTCCTTGGCTCCCCCCCCTGCACCCACCCTCAAGCCCCCTTCCTCCTCCCTCGTCCTTGTCGTCTTCGTCCCCCTCCTCCTGACGGTAATACCAGCGATCCTGACTACACATCATGCGTGTACAAAAGAAGTAGCGATTGCTTGGACACTGATTTTCAGGACGCAGCCCAGCGGGAATGCAGGCGGTCCCGCGCATATTCCCGCATCCGAGCAGCATTGCCCCAAGATTTGCATACGTTCCCGTTCGCCAGTTCCCCCGGGCCGTCACCTTCTTTCGAACGTCGCCCTCGCACATTCGTGCAGCGTTCTCCCATGAGTAGGGGAGAACGTTGCATGAATGTGCGAGGGCGACGTTCGAGGTGGGGGGGGAGAAGGGAGGGGAGGAGGAGGAGGAGGAGGAGGAGGAGGAGGAGGAGGAGGAGGAGGAGGAGGAGCAGGGCTCATAGATTCGCCATGACTGCTTCTCCCCCTTGCGCCCTGCAGCTCTGCCTCCCCCTGCGCCCCCGGAGCCTCGCCTGGCCTTCGCCTCCTGGCCTCGTCTCTCCCCGTCTCTCTCTCTCTCTCGTGCTGTTCTCGCCCTCTCTCTCTTTCTCTCTCTCTCTCTTGTTCGCTGCCGTTGCTTCTCATTGGCCTCTATGTCTCTACTGCGAAGGCCCTACGGCCGGTGCCGCCGACCCTGAATGGCGACGACGACGACGACGACGACGAGCGCTCTTGGGGGCCTTCGCCTCCTTGCCTCGTCTCTCCGTCTCTCTCTCTCTCTTTCTCTCTCTCTCTCTCTCGTGTTGTTCTCGCCCTCTCTCTCTCTCTCTCTTGTTCGCTGCCGTTGCCTCTCATTGGCGCTATCTCTCTCTATGTCTCTATTTTAAATGTGGGGATAGAGAGAGAGTGAGAGACACACACACACACCGAGATCGCTCATCCCATCGTTCGGTATGTCTACACACGTATATACAAACAGAAGCTAGCCCTCCGTATGATCATACATACTCTTCCTCATCCGCGATCGCTTCAGCTCCATCTTCTCCGTCTCTCTCTCTCCCTCTCTCTCGCTTTTTTTTTTCTCTCTCTCTCTCTCTCTCTCCCCCTCTTTCTTACTGGCCTTCGAATAACGCTGTGGTTTCCAGCTGTTCCAGCTTTTCCAGCATTTCCCAGAGAGATCTTCTCCAAAAGCGATGGAGGGCCCCAAGACAATTATAAGAGAGCCCAGCAGAGACCCATGCATGAAGGGCACAAGCGCACGACAAGCGTTCTTGGGGCACTGGTTGGTCTTCCATGGGCACCTCTATAGAGATACGATCTTCCTTGTCCTTTCGTTTGCGCTGTTCGAGAACCTGCAGAGTTTGGCTCCTGTCGCGCGTCGCGCGTCGCGCGCGCGGGCTGAACCGGCCGCGCCGTCGCGGCAACCTCCGCGAAATTCGCTCGCGCGGCCTCGGTCGGCCCGGCGGGCGCGCTGTCGGAGCCACCCCGGCGCGAATCGCGCGCCGCTGCAGGACGGCTTCCGCGCTCGGCGGCCGTCGCGCGGCAGCCGTAAACATGCGCGAGCGCAGCGAGGACGTGGAACCCGCTGCGAGTCGCGGTCGGCTTTCCAACGCGGCGACGGTGAGACGCGGCGACTCCGACGCCAGCTGCGCGCACGGTCAGCGCGACGATGCCTCGCGCGCGCGCCGCCGCACTCCTCGCGAAAATAGAGATGCTGGAGCACCTTGCAAGATCGAGTGCGTCGTGCGACGCGGGGCGTAGACGATCCATCTGGGCGCCCCTTGTGCGCGCATGCCCCTCGAGGGCCTCGACGCTGCCCAGTCGGGCCGCCCGGCCAGGGCGAGCTCTGGCAGTCGGAGACCCAGGGGCTTTTTGGGCGCCCCCGCTCGACGCCCCCTCGCGACGCTCGCGCACGAGAGCGCCGCCTTCCGGAGCATCCCCGCGGGCGAGTTGCGCCTCGGAAGCCCGACCCGAACCCGAGGCCGCGCGAGCGGCGAGGTCCGTGGCGAAGCTACGCCATGTTATTTCCAGCCTGGAACAGATCCTTATCCCTATGTTTGACATCACCTCGCCTCGATGCCGATCTCAAGGATTCCCCTCAGTTTTTGAGGGCCTATCCCTAAGATTGTCCTCGCTTTCTGCTCGCCCATCTTAGGGATAGGGATACGTTCGAGGCTGGTTATGTTGGGGAGACACCAGGGCAGCCGCGCTGCCAGAATGCCGTCCGTCATCGCAGCGGCCACTTTGAGCGCGCGCTCGCGCACCCAGTCGTCGGGCGTCGCTGCGCGGGTCGTCGGTCGTCGGCGCCGCGCTCGAGCATTCGGGGTTGCGGGCGCATGTATCGCGCGCGTTTTTTTTTTGGGGGGGGGGAGGGATTGTTGCATGTTGCT